TTTTTTTTAATTATTTAGAACCCCCAATCATTATAGATTTGTTTTAAAGCAGAAGCCCTAGACAATAAAATAGTGGGTGTTGCAATTTTTTTTTTATTTTAATGCACTAAAAACACGATATAATACCCAATTGTTTGGTAAAATGTAAAAGATGGTGTTACACTTTGTAAATATATAACAAACATGTGATGCTTAAAATTACGTGCACCCACGCACCAGCAACATATGATGTAAATTGCGTTATCCATAGGTGATGCTTTAAAAGCCTTTATAGGTTACCACTTTAGATTAACACAGGAGGTCTGTTTTTAGAATTACTGCCCTCAATCTGACTTTTGCGGTCATACCTCACATGTGTGGGTGATCGCTGTTTGCACGCATGAAGGACCGACGCTTGTGTTCACCTATTGCACTCAGGCACAGGGGAATGCGATGCTTTAAACTTTTTAAAAGTATTTATCTTTTTTTTTTCACACTGTCACTTTAAATTTTTTAAAAATCACTTTTATTGTTATCAAAGTGAATATAAATATCCCGTGATAGCAATTGGCAGTGACAGGAACTCTTTATGGAGAGATCAGGGGTCTATTAGACCCCAAATCTCTCCTCTGCACTTAAAAGCATCTGATCACACCAAGAACGTTGTAACCAGAAGCCTTACCATTTTAAAAATGGCACTGTTTACATCCATGAAAACTATGATTGCTCATCTCTTCTGGTTTCCTGTATCATAGAGGCAATCGGAGCCTATCTGGCCTGGGAGAGCAACGGAAGGCGGCAAGAGAGAACGTCCCCTCCCGCTGTTTGAAAAAGTGATCCAGCGGCTAATTAATTGCTCTAATTGCTTTTGCAAGAAAGCCAACCGTCGGCTCTAAAAAAGAAGCTGCAGACATCATCCTGGTATAAAGTCCGCAAGTGGGTAATAAGCAATTTCTGACTCTCAGATAAGTAACCACTGATACCATTGATCTTTCTAGCTTTCTGTATGGGAGTCATTTTTCCTAATAACCACAAATGTAGGGAGCATCCTATCAAGTGACCTTCATGGAAATGTACTGTGAGCTGTAGATCTAGTACAGCTGAGACTGGAAGATCATTTCCAGGGCTTCCTCCATGTTAAAAAGGTTGAGAAGGGCTGGGTTAGCGTGTGCCTTTGCGTCTTTGAGTGGTTCACTTAGTCAAACTGAAAAAAGAGCTGGCAATCCACCTCAGATATGATGCCCCCTTCCTCAAATGAGTTTATGTCAAGGGTGTTGCTAAACTCTGGCACAAAGGGCACATGCCCCAGATCATCCCTCTTTTAAGATAAGTATACAGATTTGAAATGTATATTTTAACTACTTTTCAATCCATCTATTATTTATTTTCTCATCATAATGTGATATTACTGTTTTTAGATCAATTCATTTTTGTTCACTTAGAAAGATTGTATGTGTCTCAGATTCAATCCAAAGTGGTTATCATTGTATCATCGTATCCTTCCAGCTCCTCAACTTTTTAATCTGTGTGTCCAGCAGTGCCTCTGGATTTTTAGGAACGTAAAATGGCCATAGTTTACGTCACTGCAACCTGTGGTATTAAATGTTATTGGCAGCATCTGCAGTGACCAGGTGCGGACTGACAACTCATGGGGCCCCCGGGCAATAGGGGATCATGGGGCCCCTGTGTCCTTGCCCAAACTCAAAAAAGCTTATGAAAAAGGTACCAGGGGCATCTCATGGGGCCCCCTACTGCCCCCGGGGCCCTCAGGCAGTGCCCGAGTTTCCAAATGGTCAGTCCGCCCCTGGCAGTGACTATACTGTATGTTAAATGTCCTTATATAATACTTCAGGTCAGTTGCTACTGCATTTCAATTGTTATAGAGTTTTTACCCATCTTTGCATTTTTTTAAATTAAATAATCATGGCCATTCAATTCCAAGGGCATGTGGCAGTCTGATTATTTTATATGTAGGGGAGTATGTATTGAAGATAAAGGCAGCGGGTAGCTGCAATACTCTTATCTTTTTTTTTTTACTTACTATTCTACACTTTTGTGCTGAAGTTCCTCTTCTAGACTGTGATTTTCTCTGAATACTAAGATGCTCTTTACATTAAGATTTGGATGAACATAGTTCGAGCCCACAAACAGTCATCTCAGGTGGCTTTTTTAATAGTGAACAATAAAAACAATAAATGCGGCTTCTTATTTAATGTGTGTCCACAGGCTGACAAAGTCACCATTTTCAGAATCAAACACATTGAAAGTCACACCCTGATTACAAAACATTTCACAGCCACAGCTGACATTTGAATACAGAATATTAGCCATACATTTCATCCTCGTTTCTGTGTAACAATTAATTTTACTTGCTTTCGTGGCAAAATTAGTTTATTTGAGCTGTTAAAAAAGCCATACTGTGCTGTCCCTAGGCACATTCCTGCTATTTGGCAGTACGTTAGCTCTCAGGGCCAAGAATTTTAAAGAACAATCCCCCCCCCCCCCCCCCCCCCCCCCCCCCCCCCCCCCCCCCCCCCCCCCCCCCCCCCCCCCCCCCCCCCCCCCCCCCCCCCCCCCCCCCCCCCCCCCCCCCCCCCCCCCCCCCCCCCCCCCCCCCCCCCCCCCCCCCCCCCCCCCCCCCCCCCCCCCCCCTCAATACCCCATATAGCAACCCTACTCACAAAAAAATGTAAATAGTAAATAAAGACACATATTTTTTGATAAATATGTATTAAAAATAAAAAGAACTCAAAAAATTTACAATGTGACCATGACTATATGCAGTCAATGACATCATGGGAAGTCCCATGACATCATTAACCAAATGTAGTCATGTCCATATTTGATCAATGATGTCTCCTAGGAGACCCCACCCTATAGTTAATATTCAGAGGCAGGGCAGGGAGTGGGAGCTGTCATTTGTGACAAGCAGTTGTTGGAAACAGATCATCAGACAGGCATCGTTCATCATGATGTGGAGCTGCATCAATGGATGGTGGGACTGCTGATAGGTTTACATTATGGAACTTTTTGGGGTTTCCTATTTTTTAATAAAGGGCTTGTCAAAAAGTTTGCGTCTTTATTTAATATTTACGTTTTTGTGAATGTGCAGGGATACTAGGCACCTCTTACTTATTCCAATGAGATCCAGATTTGGATAAGCCCCTGTGCCTGCAGACCCCCACAACCACCTGCCCAGGGTTGCGGGGAACTAGCCCTAGCCCTCATCAACATGGGAACAAAGTGCTTTGCCAGGCTGTCCCCCCTGGCAAGGTATTCTGCCCATCTTGAGAGCATGTGGCTTGTTGTGGTTTGGGGGTCCCCCCCTCCTTCTTTTCCTGGCCTGCCAGGAAATCCAGATCAGACCCACATCTAGGATAAGGGTCTGGTATAGATGAAGGGAATTCCAGGCTGCATTGCTTATAAACAAAAGGAGATCTTATTTACTGGCAATTTAAGAATCATTTTTTTAATTTGTAAATGTTAGTTTTGCTGTAGTAGGTTGTCAACATCCTACTAATGCTCCACTTCATAGGCAGGTTAAGGACATCCCTAAGGCATGTTATTTAAAGAGGTTTAGCATTTTAATGTTTCCCTTTAGGCATTACTAAAATCACTTCTCCCAGCCAAAAATTAAAAAAAAAAAAATAGCTTTAGCATTTACTCCCCAGGTTAGATCCCACCCTCTATACCATTTGATTGGCAATTCCTTGCCTATTAGTCCAGAAAATAGCCATGACTGTTTTTAACATTCGGCTTCCATTGACTTCAATGGGTTTCAGATTTTGCACCCAAACATAAGGAATGTTCACCAAACCTGCCTTAAACTGAACCCAGTTATGTTCACCTCTTCCCTATTCCTGATGTGTCTAGGCACTCGTATACCTAAAGCCTCATAACAAAGTAAATCTAAGGCACTCCTGCCTCTGACTGCTAGTCTTATAAGATTTGTTGTGAGATTCACTCATGTTGCTACTGTGCTACTCACTGCTCTCCTTGCTGGAGAGAAATCTGTACCTAGCAATACAATGATCTCTTAGCTTCTACTTTATCAATTCACCAGTCATCAGGAAGGAGGAGAACTAATATAGGGAAGCTATGCTCTGCTTCTACAGGCATTACTGGTGTCTAGTTTTTTTGCCCTCTGGTTTTTGTCCTTGGGTACAGCTTCCACAGTTCATGTATTCTTTAAAGAATAATAAAATACTTTACATTTAAAATTTGTAATGTGCTGCCATTTGAAGCAGCTTTGGTTTGTTTTCGAGGCCCTTAAGTCCTCATGCACACTTGAGCTAAAAAATGCCTGGTTTGTAGGCGTTTGACTTTCTGCCTCTAAACACCCCTCTGTGTTAGCCTAAGTACCATGCACCCATAGGCATTTACAGGAGTTTATAGGCAGGGGCATTTAGAGGCAGAAAAAAAAAAAAATCACTTGTGCATTCAAGAGAGGAGTCTTTTGGCAGAAAAAAAGCCAAAATGCGTCTAAACCTGTAAATGTTTGTAAATGTGTCTAAACATGCCTAAGCATTACGTTCACTTAGTGCTTGAGCGGTTTTTTCTTTTCATTTCAATGGCCAGAATAAATAAAAATTCTGGTCAATGAAATAAATGCCCTTGACATGCCTAGTACTTGACACGCCTAAACATGTATTCAAAAACGCATTTTTGAAGCTGCTTTTCTCCTGCCAGGATAAAAATAGTTTACAAAAGCTCCAGTGTGCATGAAGCCTAAAAGTATATTGGCTGGTCAACATCACCACACTATACTATATATGAATATTCTGAAACGTATCTTCACATATGGAAAAAATACTACTGGCCAAACAGTACCAATGTCAAATACTGTCTTTATTTGCCACCAGAAAAAAAAGTATATTTGATACCATGCTCACTCAACCACGTGAAAGTCTTTTTGTGTTTCTGTGCGTTTCATAGAAATAACTGATAATCTCAGACCGTAAAAAGAATTAAACCAAGAAAGAAACAAAGAAAGGTGAGATGATTGTCCTATGCAGTCCACATCACTCTCCAGAAGTCTTTATAACATGGAACAGAGTGACATTATAGAGAACTTGATGACCATTATTCCAGGTGTAGAGGACTCTCTCTCGTGGGTTGTAGTCCAGCATAGATATGTGTGAATATTGATTATGGAATGGGATATCTGTGTATTCATAAGTAGAAGAATTGGTGTAATATGCAAAGTAGATCTTGGCTCCTGCTAAATGGGAATTGGTTACATAGAGGGTGCCACAAATCATGAAGGACTCTCCAGCACTGCGTTTCGGGTAGCCAGTGTCCCAGGTCTGGAGGATCTCCAGTGTTTGGGGGTCCAGCTTGCTGACAACAATATTTCCTGCATTCTGATTAGTCGTGTAAACTGCCCAGAGCCCATTTTCATCTACCATAAAGTCAATGTCGGAGAATCCACCCCAGGAGTAAGGGAAGGTGTTGTTGTAGCCAGCATTGTTGAGGTTCCTCTGGACGGAGACACTACGTGAACGGAAGTGATATTTTACCACAATGTTGCTCTGGTACTTGTTGTAATACAGAGAGCCATTGTAAACCACGTGGCCAGTACCAGCCCAAGGATGGGGGAGGAGGTGTTGCACGAAGTTCTGGCCTTTGATAAAGTCATTGAGGCTACGATATTCTAAAACTCTTCGACCTTTTAGGTAACCATCCATGTACCAAACCTGAAAGAGAAGAGATATTGGTTTAAAAGGTGAAATGTTTACCAGTGTCTATATTACTTGATACCAAAAATGAGGGTGCAGGTCATCAGTCATCAACATTACTACCACCATGATCAGCAGCATTATCTACAGATCTCACCAATCTACTGGTCTATTGAAATGGGGAACATTCAGTAAACCACAGTACCTAATCAGTTTTAATTTTACTGCAATTATATGAGATAAAGATAACTTACGTTCCTGATGTTTTCTAAGGGGTACGTCTCTGTGCCATTTTAAGCTGGACATTTTTCTATCTCTCCTAGACATCATTCATCCTGGCAGTGGCATTTTAGGCAGCAAAAATGCTTGACATTTGTAAAAGTTTGTAATGTGCTTAGGCATGTTTAGCGTCAAGTGTTTGGGCATTAATTTATTCATTAGCCAGAATAATTATTTATTCTTGCCACTGAAATGAATTAACACTCAAGAGCTAAACGTGCCTAGCGTTAACATGTGTTTAGATACATTTACACATTTTCTGGCAAAATGCCATTGCTCCAGGGCCCACTGGCAGTGAGCTTTTTTTCCCTACCTACTCCTGGACACATAGGCTAACATGCAGGGGTGTTTAGAAGCAGGGAAAAAAAAACCGCCAGATGCCCCTTGGGGCAGCAGAAAAAAAGTCCAGTGTGCATGATGCCTTATAGTGGATGTTGGGTTTACATTAAAGCAGAACTACACTACCCACACAAACCAAAACTCTGTTTAATTCATATTTAATATTCCAAGCAAACTCCCCCATCCACCCATGTCTCCATTCTTTCTTTTGCAAAGAAATCATGTTGAAAAGCATCACCTAGCATTTCTGCCTGTGGCCATCTTGAGTGGGGGCAGTTGATCCATGTAGCATTTTCTTCCTAGAATCCATCTGCCCATAGCTCAGGTATGCAGGCAGGAGGGTGTGCTTAGCTAAGAAAAACCCCTCCTCCCCTCCTGAAGACTCCTGGGATGTATCACATCATTTGCCTAGGCATGGAAACCAGGAAGTAGCGGAAAAAAAATTAAAATAAAATAAAGCAAAAAAAACATGATATACATTCCTGTCTATTTACTAATGCTAGCAGCTTAAGGATTAAAAATAGTCAATGTTGATTGAGAGGGTGAAGTGCCACTTTAAAGGGTTAGACATAATTTGCATGTGCTTAACTGCAAATTATAACTGTTAGGTAAAATTTAACCAAATTATCCAATATTCTATGGTCACCAAACCAATATAAGATATAGGGGTATGGCTTTATTTTCCTTTTAGTATCTTTACACCTTGAAAAACTTTTGTATTTAGACTGGAGGTCTTGTGGATAATCTATTTATTAATCCTTCCTGTATTTTTTTAGAACTTTTTTCTCCTTGAACTGATTTTGCACAATGTTCTCTCGTTCTTACAAGAAATTGAAACTGTTTAATGGTTATCCTCTACTCTGCCCAGTTTTATTCATTTCATTGCAGTCCATTTAACCAGTTTTTTTATTTTTCCAATACCATTTTCTATTAAACTTCCCAAAGCTATAAGTAAGAAATTTAAAACCTTAATATGTTATGTTATCTATACCAGTTACTATTTTAGTATCCATTCCCTGAATTGCTAACTCTTTATGACTGTGCTTGTACACGCAGATCTGTGGGGCCATAAAATGCAGTTCTCAACGAAAGGTCTAGGCAACTCATTACATGGCAATATAACTACTTCACCTCATCTGAACACACACATACACACATAGGTATTCCTAAATAACCGGGTAAATGAATTATGGTGCCTTAAAAAAAAGTTTTCTTTTTCTCACCCATTTGTAGATGGCCTTAATGCACCTTTTAACATTTGCCCCATGAAATCTAAGTGGGGAAACAGGGATGTATAAAGGTCCTGTATCCTAAAGGCCTGTTGGTGTCTACCAGATGAAAGATAGCATACCAAGTGTCATGGAAATTTTGTATTATTGGTCGAACTTTAAATGTGTCATATATTCGTGTTATTCATATGTCTCTCGTGTGGCTTAATTAAAGCTCTGAAGGCTGCAATTGGGCCATGCGCATGTACAATGTATGTATTACAGTACTCAGCTTGGTAATGGATGAGATGGCAGATCTGCGCTTATAGACCGGCGTGTATACCACCACGGCATTCCATGCGAATGCTGCTGTCAGTAGACCGTGGGCCTGTATCCGCATATCAGCAGCATGGTACCACGTGGGCTTCATAACGCAATGCGCAAGCGGTGTGAACT